AATATTGAGTGCAATAAATAAATGACAATGAAATTTTAAAGTGGTTTGGCGAGGTAAACTTTGCGCCTATGTCCACTTTTGTTTTTTTTTTTTTTTTTGTATTGCGTGAGAGCTTACAATGAATTATGTTGAAAGTTGTAACCCCTTTTTCATATTTGAGGGGGTTATATAACAAGTTTTATACAAGGGAAAGAGCAAAAAAGGATACAATTGATCTGAACTGTAATTCTGTATTCTTGCATTGGGCATTGTGATTGAGCAAAGATGATGTTGATTTAGTCATTCCCCAATATCTGGGAATTGCTGAATGATCATTGACGGGTTGTTCGCGACGAGCTTATGCTGGTTGATAATGTGTTGACAAGTTTATGCTGGTCAAACACCGGTGGGTGGACTAACCTGGGTCGAGCTCATTCTCACGGTAGCTTGAGCTTGAATGGAAAAATCACCACACATCAGCCCCCTGTGTTCGATCTCGTTTCGAGCTTCAAGACATTGTTCAATTTGATGCCAAGCTTGGCATCACCAACAGATCTCCGATGTATGTTTTGTCAGCTCCTAGGGTCGACCTTATGTCTGTCGACGTGCTTCACACTTGTTTACTTCCGTGATACCTGCCAACTCAGAACACTGAAAAGTTCGAGGGCAAATACGTATTTCCAAGCGTCATGTTTGCATTAAATGCGACAGCCTTTGTCAGTCATGTTTCGATTGCGCGTGGCGACTATAGGTTTCTAACGCTCGAATCAAAGGACATGGATTGACGTTTTTGCAGTGTAATAGTCTGACAATTCGTCGCCCTTCGCATGGATGACCGTGGCCGATGTCTAAGGGCCAAGATTGCTCGACGAATGAAGGGTTAAGATTCACATAGATCGACTGCTACAAATTAAACTCCGCCCTTTCGTCTTCCATGCAAATCACTATAAAGGTGGCGAAGTCGTCATAATGCTCATTTAACTCACGAAGTTCTCTGACGTCTTTGTCCCACTTTGTTGCTATTTTCTCATCGTCACGGTGCTCTTTCTGGCAAGTTTCTACAACGTCTTTCTTCCGATAGAGTTCTTTTCCCTTTCTTTACTCGTTTCTCCAGTTTTCGCGTTAAAGGTGTCTACTCAACCATGCCACATTGGATATTTTAGGGCTTTAGTAAGGTTTTTGAATACGTCTCCAGCAGTCCTAGGTTTAATGCGGTGACCACTGGAACCTAGGGTAGGTTGCGTGCATTCGTTGTGTGATGCGAGCTATCTTGGGTGCTTGAACTGAAAGCAGTGTGAATGTTTGCCAAATTTTTTGAGCTCTAACACATGTTCGCTTCTATTTTCAAGTACCTAGCAAGTGAGCTATACTATGTCTTTTTCAATCAGTCACACAATCGACCGTATGTTGATTCGCCTGCAGCTCGGCAGTCCTTGGGATCAACTCTCGATTTTCCGAGGAAATCGTCGCACAAAGTTTGGACTCAGACGTGCGGGCTCTTCTAAACCGTGCCTACCATACAGTTGGCTCACCTCTGCGCGGTCTCTAGTCCCTAGGCTATGAAGAGCCACAATCCTCGATTATCATCGGGATCCCCCCCTTGTATGGTGGCGACCCTTTGAGACGCTCCTAGATGGGGTATCCATTCCCCCTCATCGTTTTATTGGACAACGTGTTGAAGCGGTTTGACATCATTTTCCCCTCCGCTTTCCCAATTCTATGTAATTTATTACGCTCTGTACATATGCGTACATGATCGCTAACTGGCAAGGCATCCGTCGAGGAGCTCGTCCATCTGCATAAGCTCAAAAAAAAGGCAAGACCAGACGTACTAACTCTTCGAGAAGGTACAATTTCAATGGGCTGGTTGATGTCCCGAAGAAGGTCCCTGGCACTGGGACTCATAATTCTGCTTCTATGAAAGCCTAGGATACCTTGTGCCTTCACCTCGAAGAGTAAGATTTTTGATTTAACGTACGTGCGAGAATCGCTTTCGAGCTTTGTTTCTAGTTAACCAAGTTGCTTTGTTTTGTAGTAACGTCGAACAGAACTATCTGCCTGCCACAAGCGTTGAGGCTGTAGCTTTTCAGCAACCTTCCCGATGGATAGCGTAACATTAACGAGTCATTACTCTCCCCACCTGCAAGCATCACACTTCTGTCGAGATGATGCAGATTTCCTAGGATCTTGGAAAAAGGTTAGTTTATCGTTTGCTCCACACTTTTTCCCACCAGTATCGCTTCTTGTTTGTTGTCCTTTTTAGAAGAATGTTGGCCGAGAAACCCAACAGACCTTAAAAAGAAGATGACAACTCTGACAGCTGCCAAGAAAACACCGTTGCTTTGGCAACAAAGCAGCCCGCTGATGTAGCTGTCATGAAACGCGTCGGTGGCGACTAAGGAGGTCCCATGCGAAAAAGCCTACGATTGCTCCAAAGGCAATGGGCACAAAGAGTGTCCTCAAGTTCTAGAAGGACCGATGAAGAAAACACTCCCGAGTTGACTGGAGGCCCGGGGAAACTGAAGCACCCGAGCGCATAATAGCTTAGGGAAAAAAAAGAAACAGAAGCCGAGCCTCTGATGGGCTTGGGCAAAGAAAGGTGGCCGAGCAGCAGGGTGGCTTGGGCAAATAGGTCGTTGTTAGGCCAACGGCCTCAAAGAAAACAACATCCACAACTTGGCCAAGAAAGAAGTCCGCTTCTGCGGGCAAGTGCTGGCGTTGTCGGGGGGAGTAAAATCTGGCTTTTCTAGGAAGAGCAAGAAAATGGAATAGCGGTCCTAAGCTGCAATCGACGCTCTGATCGATAACTCCCTCACCATATTAGTGTTAGGGCCACAAACGGGTAGGCTGGAATCATTTCGCGAACCTTTGTGGCTGTCAAGATGCTGCTCCTATTGATATGCTGGCCTTGTGTGCAACTACACGGCAAAGGTATGATAGTTCCCTTTCTTTTTTCTTATCACTTGCATGCTATCTCGCTTTTTGTTAACTTTCCGTCTAATCCCCTTTGTCCCTTTTTGTTAGACCTGCCATGGCCAAGCTGCTTTCTTTATGAGTGAGTGCTATCACTTGGGAGGGCACTCAAAGGGATGGCAATTGGCGGAGACGTGAAAAGAATGCTCTGGCTAGAGCCGAGATTGCGGAAAAGATAAGGCCGCCAAGCAAGCGTGAGCTCAAACGGCTCAGGGGGGAATTGGCGACCTTTGGGGTCAAGGACACGGGATTCCTTGACAAGCTTAATGTGAGTTGAGGCGCTTGAGCGAAGGCTAAAGCTAAGGCAGTGGAAGCCGGAAGAATTGGCACAACAACGAGGTGCCAAAACAAGTTTAAACTTGTGAGCTTTTCTCGGCTCAGAAGGCTGCCCTCGGACTGGAAGGCCAAATCTAAGTAGTCTTCGCTCAACCTTGGCCTAGGAGGTGGAGAAGGTTGACGGAAAACAAAGCTGAGGCAGGCAACTCAGGCTTCAAATTGGGATGCTACGAGGCCATCACTACTCCAAGCTAAGCCATCGGTTTTCCTCGTGTAGAGTTTTGGAAGCCACCCTCGACTCGACTTTTCTTTCCTTTTGCGAGCTTACCAAAGGAAGTCGAGAGGATGAAGGTTAAAGCCTAGGAATGACCTACTTGTACTTGGATGCTCCGAGGATGATGGTGAGGGCCAGAAGAGGTTCGTCGGAGGGCAAAGAGGAGAATCGGCTCAAGTGAAAGTCGAGGATCCCCTCCCTTGGTCTACCCTTCCCCCAAGCGAGGTCTTAACCTTGGAGAAACTGCTGTCATCCTCCCCATTGAAAACCATCTCTTCTTATCTGTACCAATCTCCCTGACCGGCCGAGGATGATCCCCTTGCTCCCCAACTGTTTGAAGCATCATACATTTTTTTTTTGTCTTTTGTTGTTTTTCTTTTCTTTTCTTTTTTTAAATGTAATAGATTTCATTAATGAAAAAGAAATTTCTCAACAGCCCTTATGAGCAACGATTATTATATATTTCTGCGAAGTCTCATTCTCCCAGTTGATTGTAATAGAAGATTCGCATCCACTTCTAAGTTATGCGTAAGTCGCTCTTGAAGAGCTTTTTCAGATGTGTATAGAAAATCTTTTGCAACAAGCAACATTCCGTTATCTGATAGGTGTTTAGAATTAAACTCATTCACTTATAGTTATAAAAACATGAAAATTTTTGGTTACAAGGGTAAATGAAATAAGCTCATAATTTCATAAACATATTAAAAAAATATATCTATAAATGATAATAGTAATAGTCTGGTTAATCTCACATTTAAAAAAAGTCTTGGAACAAAAATCTAAAATGTATGTTGTACAGTGAAAATCACAGCTGGCGAAGTACATGTAGAGTTTAATTTCTATAAAATGTCATTACCTCACTCAGCTGCCTGAATTATATCATAAATGCGTCTTCTCTAGAGAAATATAATAATACTTTGTTTCCTATCGTACATTCGTGTTCGATTCAATTTTAATTTAATCCACTATCATTTGGTTAATATATTTATTTAATTAAAAAAAATATCATTATGATAAGTTATTTATAAGGTCAATAGCATTCAACATGATATTGAAACCCTGTCCCTTTACGAGTTGATTTTAAGGTTATGAGAGTGATATTTAATTTAAGGTTATACAAGGAGCAAATTTCAACCTTTGAAACAAAAATATGTCTTAAATTATAAAACATTTTGGGCGTGGTTGGCCTTGTACTGTAATACTAGTTGAGCGGTTGTAGTTTATTTTATTTTCTTCCCACTAGATCATTTTGTATAAGAGATTCACTTTGTTTGAAAAATATCTCTATAATTATTAAATCAAATTATCAAAGGAAAGAAAACACCGTACAAGTATAATTTTTAATCTTTTCTACATGAAATAAATGGTACTGTTATGCCAAAAACATTCATAAATTAGCATGAAACTCATGAAGAACTCAATTTCATCGTGGAACCACTGAAAAAAAGCTATAAGAGCACCAGCTTTTACGATGATTTAAAACACGAGCAAAGATTAAAGAAAATCTTGAATGAGCATCCAATGCTCTTCCTCTTCCGGACTTTTGCTTAATTTGACAGCGTCAAGATTACTTTGGAATTGTAACTGTCATGGCCGCGGTTATGGCTGGAGATGACATAGCAGGAACGTTCAGCAGTCGGCGAAGCTTGGCTTCCGGTAGTCGACGGAGCTGGGTGGGCTCAACGAGTTTCCGGGAGGCGTGGAATGCGCCAACAAATGTGTTCAGCCAGAGTGGAAGAGCGGGTAATGATGATGAAGAGCAGCTGAGGTGGGCGGCAATAGAACGGCTACCGACGTTTGACAGGCTAAAGAAAGGGATGATAAGACAAATTCTTGATAATGGAAAGGTGGTTCATGACGAAGTAGATGTTACTAAGCTCGGCATGCGAGAGAAGAAGTTGTTAATGGAGAATATATTGAAGGTTGTTGAGGAGGATAATGAAAACTTTCTCAAGAAACTTAGAGAGAGAACTGATAGGTAGTAAATAATGCTTTTTGAGTTTGTAAATTTTCACTTTTACGGGTGATTTTCTTTTTTTTTTTTTATTATTATTTTTTGGTCTGGTGCAGAGTGGGAATTAATATTCCAAAGATTGAAGTTCGATATGAACATTTATCAGTTCAGGGATATATTTATGATGGAAGCAGAGCCCTTCCTTCTTTGCCTAATGCTTTCTTGACCACAGTAGAGGTATTTTACGTTTTAATTATTTACTGTAAATGATAATGGAAAACATTGAACTGCAATTTAAGAGATTTTACATTTGTGTTCGTTTTTTAAAGAATATATTATGAACTGGGTACATAAAATTTTTCCCTTTCTTCATTGGAATGTTGATTAATTTTTGTGTCTATTTTTAATGGAAAACAGAGTGCTTTGGGATTGCTTAGGCTTGTCCCATCTAAAAAGAGAAAAATACAGATTCTTAATGGAGTTAGTGGGATTATCAAACCATCAAGGTAATTTTATATTTTCTGTTGCTGTTTCATATGAGAAAGTAACTGCTAATTTGTTGCTGAAATGAAAATTTCCAGGATGACACTTCTTCTGGGTCCTCCTGGCGCTGGGAAAACAACATTCCTGCTAGCACTTGCAGGGAAGCTTGATAAAGATCTGGAGGTCTGTTTTGATTGTAGTTGTCTATTATGATTTATGTGAATTAACTTGTACTGTTTATGCAATTAGAATTTCTCAGTTTGTACCTAAGTATTAGACTTAGAATCTAGACCTGAATTCACGAATAGGCGAGTTACTCTCACCAGTTTGAGATAATAGGAGTTTAAAAATTGTATTTTTGGCTAAGCGAATCAACACAAGTTCATATTGAAAAAAGTGGACAGCTAACCCAGAAAATGGCTGATTATACTCGTGATCATTTGCAAATTTGAACAGGCATCTGGGAAGATCACCTACTGTGGCCATGAATTAAATGAATTCATTCCTCAGAAGACTTGTGCTTATATTAGTCAGCATGATCTTCACCAGGGAGAGATGACAGTGAGAGAGACATTGGATTTCTCAGGACGCTGTTTAGGCGTCGGCACAAGATATGAATTGCTGGCAGAACTGTCAAGAAGAGAGAAAGAAGCAGGAATTAAACCAGATCCTGAGATTGATGCATTCATGAAAGCCACTGCTGTGGCAGGTCGAGAAACTAGTTTGGTTACAGATTATGTTATCAAGGTTTGATCTCCTTTCTCAAGTTCATTTGTTTTTCAGTCCATTTCGAAGACCAGACATTTGACATTTTGTCTATGCCAACAGATACTTGGCTTGGACATATGTGCAGATATTATTGTTGGTGATATGATGAGAAGGGGTATTTCTGGTGGACAGAAGAAGCGTGTGACTACTGGTATGTTATTTCGAAGGACAGTAACTGCGTATCATCATTTTTTTTCCCTCATTCAGCAGCTTGTTGCCATCACACCTAACTATGAAATTGTAGTGTCAATGTATGTTTTAGCTGTATAAAATTTCATTTGTCATTGTTATTTTTATTTCTCTAACAATTACTTCCATTAAAGGCTATCCAAGTAAAAAGTTATTTTTCTGAGTGCAGGAGAAATGCTGGTTGGACCAGCAAAAGTTCTTCTAATGGATGAAATATCGACCGGATTGGACAGTTCTACTACTTTTCAGATCTGCAAGTACATGAAGCAAATGGTTCATATCATGGATGTAACTATGATTATTTCTCTTCTTCAGCCAGCACCAGAGACATATGACCTGTTTGATGAAGTTATTCTACTTTCAGAAGGTCAAACTGTCTACCATGGTCCTCGTGAGAATGTCCTTGAATTTTTTGAATACATGGGTTTCAAATGCCCCGAGAGAAAAGGAGTTGCTGACTTTCTGCAAGAAGTAACTTCCGAGAAGGACCAGGAACAATATTGGTTCAAGAAGAACCAACCTTACAGATTTGTTTCAGTGTCCGATTTTGTACGAGGTTTCGGTTCCTTCCACATTGGCCAACAACTTGCATCAGATCTTAGTGTTCCTTACGATAAATCTAGAGTCCACCCTGCCGCCCTGGTGACAGAGAAGTATGGTATTTCAAATTGGGAATTGTTCAAGGCATGTTTTGCAAGGGAGTGGCTGCTAATAAAGCGTAATTCATTTCTCTATATTTTCAAGACCACCCAGATAACAATCATGTCGATAATTGCCTTGACAGTGTTCTTCAGAACAAAAATGCATCCGGGCACTTTGCTTGGTGGAGGAAAGTATCTTGGAGCATTATTCTTCAGTTTGATGAATGTGATGTTCAACGGAACGGCAGAACTTTCATTAACTGTTCTTAGGCTTCCTGTCTTCTACAAACAAAGGGATCACTTTTTCTATCCTGCATGGGCTTTTGGCTTACCGATATGGCTTCTCAGGATCCCATTATCATTTTTGGAATCAGCAATATGGATCATTCTGACATACTACACAATTGGTTTTGCTCCAGCTGCTAGCAGGTACAGATCTTCAATTGGGTTCAATTTTTGTGAGGTTAATGACTTTTATAAACATCAAAGTGGCCTCAAAACTATTAAATGTTAGTTTGTGTAATCATGTTTATGTTCTGAGTTTTGGCATGCCTATATATAAGAGTTCCATGAAAGATATTAAAATTCCTTTCACTAACAAATCTTTTCATTTTTCCCTTTAGGTTTTTCCGACAGTTCTTGGCATTTTTTTGTATACATCAGATGGCTCTGTCCCTCTTTCGGTTAATTGCTTCTATTGGAAGAGTTGATGTTGTAGCACAAACTCTGGGTACCTTCTCCATGCTGATGGTTTTTGTGCTTGGAGGATTTATTGTCGCCAGAGGTAAGTTGTTTTTCAATCTTTGCTGTGTAGTTATTATCGTTGTTAGTGCAAGCTGTTTATAATCCAATTTGTTGCTGCAGTAATCAACAAAAAGATATTACAACCAAAAAATTTGGTTCAGTGTTTGATTAGTTTTCTTTCAATTATCTATTCATTTTAACATTCTATTGCTTTAATTTTGTGTCTACAGATGACATTGAGCCATGGATGATATGGGGCTACTATTGTTCTCCTATGATGTATGGACAGAATGCCATTGTTCTGAATGAATTCCTCGATAATAGATGGGACATAGTAGGATCTATTAAAACTTTGATCATGCTCTTTTCTAATAGATAAACTATATATATGTATATATATATATATATATCGTGTGTCTTGTTTTCCTGTTCAAATCTTACAAATTTCAAACTATTGCAGCCCAACCAAGACCCCAATATTGATGCACCAACAATTGGGAAAGTAATTCTTAAGAGTAGAGGTTTTTTCACGGATGCATATTGGTATTGGATTTCTATTGCAGCACTAGTTGCTTTCTCAATCCTATTCAACATATTATTTATTGGAGCTTTGACTTATTTGAATCGTGAGTTCTCCTATCTTATTTTGATTTGGGGTCTTTTGAATGGAAATCAAACTTCAATGTTGATGACTCTTTTTCTGCGGAAAATATTTTCAGCTTTTGGTGATTCAAAATCAATTGCCGTAGACGAAAACGGAGATGAAAAGAATAAGAAACGAGCCTCTAGTCCAAATGGAGCAGAAGGTTATTTCCTTCCTTTGTTCTATCTCTATTATCAATATACTGTTAACTGTACTTTTAAAATACAAAGAAACAATAACTACCCAGCACCCAAGAGGTTGATTTATTTGAATGTAGCCAAAACGTCAATATATATATATGTTTTACTACAATAGTGTTTGTGAGAATTCTAGTTTACTATGAGATATTGAAGGAGTTCTTTTCAAAAACTGGTCTGTGAAATGTGTGAATACTAGGGAAAATTGCTTAAAAGTTGAGGTGCCTAAGAGAACATGTTATGTAGAATTGCAGAGAATATCTTATAGATTTTTATAAGATGTTGCCAAATATGCTGAAAGTTTGTCTAAACTATGTTGATGTCATATCATCGAAATTCCTTAAATTTTATGAACAACTACAGGTATTCAAATGGCAACAACAAATTCATCAGAAGTTAATCGGGTTGCTGAACCTAATAGAGGAATGATTTTGCCTTTCCAACCCCTTTCACTTGCCTTCAACCATGTGAACTATTATGTGGACATGCCTGCGGTATGTACCTTTAATCTCTAAATCTCTTCCATACTATCACGTATCCTTTTAAGTTACTACCAACAAGAAGTTAGAGTGGCTTCTGAAGTATAAAATGTACATTGAAACTTCTTTTGGGATTGTATCTAAATAAATAATTTTGTTGAAAAAGTTCTGATTTTTAATATACCAGGAAATGAAAACTCAAGGAGTTCAAGAAAATCGTCTACAACTACTACGAGATGTTAGTGGTGCTTTTAGACCAGGGGTTTTGACTGCACTAGTTGGTGTAAGTGGTGCAGGGAAGACAACTCTAATGGATGTTCTAGCAGGAAGAAAGACCACAGGTTATATCGAAGGAAGTATTAACATTTCTGGCTACCCAAAGAAGCAACCAACCTTTGCTCGTGTCAGTGGTTACTGTGAACAAAATGACATTCATTCACCACATGTTACTGTTTATGAGTCTATCATATACTCGGCTTGGCTTCGCCTTTCTTCAAACATAGATAAAAAAACACAAATGGTATGTTGATGAAATTCTTGTCTGATTGTAACTATTAACATTTTTTTTCCTCCTTCATCATCAGCAAATGATCTCATTGTTGTCTGCTTCTCATTTTTGTATCTCATAGATGTTTGTTGAAGAAGTTATGAAGTTGATTGAGCTCAAGCCATTGAGGAATGCCTTAGTTGGGCTACCTGGAGTAGATGGTCTTTCAACAGAACAAAGAAAGAGGTTGACAATAGCCATCGAGCTGGTTGCTAACCCCTCTATAATCTTCATGGATGAGCCAACATCTGGTCTTGATGCTAGAGCTGCGGCCATTGTCATGCGTACAGTGAGAAATACAGTGGACACAGGAAGAACCGTTGTGTGCACAATTCACCAACCAAGCATAGACATTTTTGAAGCGTTTGATGAGGTATTGCTCAATTTACTGATTTTTTTTTTTTTTTTAATTTTTTTACTTTTGATATATATTTATGCGTTAGGTTCAAGAACTCACATTTTTTACACAACTTTTTAGCCATTGGATCAATGCATTAATAGTTGAGATTGCATCTAAGTTTTGTCATGTAATCAACATTCAACTTGGTGATGTGCTTGGTGCAGTTACTATTGATGAAAAGAGGAGGGCAAGTCATTTATGCTGGACCCCTTGGTCACCATTCTCAAAAGCTCGTAGAATATTTTGAGGTAAGCATTTCCTATTTACAATTTTTGTGTTTGGTTCCACAGAATAGCAATAGGTAATTAAACAAGAAGCTGTATTACTGTGTTTGATGTCCCAAATTGTATTTTTCATTAAATTTTTTAAGTTGCAAATTCTTGATAAGTTGTCAACTTCGAAAGTGAATTGTGAATTAAAATCCACAACTTGTTGCAGGCCATACCTGGGGTTCCGGGAATTAAGGATGGATACAATCCAGCAACATGGATGCTTGAAGTCACTGCTCCTTCGGTCGAGGATCATCTGGATATTGATTTTGCTGAAATTTATGCCAACTCCTCATTATATCAGTAAGTTTGAATAGAATAACATGGTTGAGTATTGTTTGAATTATTCCATATGGCTTGGTATTTTGACCATTTTGTTAAATAATTACTTTCTTGACACCCTTGCAGAAGGAATCAAGAACTTATTAAAGAGCTCAGTACTCCAGCTCCGGGCTTCGAGGATCTCTACTTCCCAACTGAATATTCACAATCATTTCTTTCTCAGTGCCATGCTTGTTTGTGGAAGCAGCTTTGTTCATATTGGAGACATCCTAAATATAATGCTGTCAGGCTCGTGATGACAATATGCATCGGTGTTCTGTTTGGTCTTATCTTTTGGGACAAAGGACAAAAGACGTATGTTATTTATTTTCTCTCATCTTTAATTAATTAAGTTTTATGGTTGTTTCTTTTCTCTCCACTGTAAAAATAATATGTTTGATAATTGTTTTTTTTAAATACAGAACAAAACAACAAGATCTGATTAATCTTTTAGGAGCAATGTATTCTACTGTGCTTTTCCTTGGAGCTAGCAATGCTTCTGCGGTGCAGCCTGTTGTTGATATTGAGAGAGCAGTTTTCTACCGTGAAAGAGCAGCCGGCATGTATTCTGCACTACCTTATGCATTTGCTCAGGTATCAAAAAGCAGTTGGACGACTAGCATGCAACTTAATCATTTCCAAACTTGTGGTTGATAAAATTTACTTAAATTTGGAAAACTAATCACTAATATATATATATTTTTTTTTTAAATTTTGAAGGTGGCTATAGAGACAATATATGTGACAATACAAGCTATTATGTATACTCTTATCCTTTATTCCATGATTGGATATGAATGGAAAGTGGGAAAGTTTTTCTTGTTCTTCTACTTCATATGGATGTGCTTTATCTACTTCACACTATCTGGGATGATGCTCGTTGCCCTAACTCCGAGCTTCCAAATTGGTGCCATACTTTTGTATTTCTTCCTTAGTTTATGGAACATTTTCTCCGGTTTTCTCATTCCTAGAGTGGTAAGCGACTGCAAACTCAAAATTTATATGATAATTTCAAAAGGTTAAAATGCCCTTAAAGATGAAACATCTTATTTTTCAGCAAATCCCTATTTGGTGGAGGTGGTACTATTGGCTTTCGCCCGTCGCATGGACAATTTATGGTCTTATGACTTCTCAAGTGGGTGACAAAGATGATCTTGTGGAGATTCCAGGAGAAAATATGAAAATGACAGTAAAGATGTTCCTTAAAGAGAGCTGGGGATTCCATCATGACTTCCTTCCTATTGTTGCTTTGGCTCATATTGGTTGGGTTCTCCTTTTCTTTTTTGTGTTTGCCTATGGCATTAGATTCTTCAATTTCCAATCTAGATAAGGTAACCAACCATATTCAATCTTTGTCTCAAAATTAACTATCATAAGAAATCGATAGTCTTGAATTTGTGAAAAAAGAGAGTTTGTAATCAAGCGATTTATGCTTGGAATATACATTGTATCTTTTCAATCATATAGCAAACACACACTTCTGTTTTTTCAGGTCACAGAAAGAATATTAAAATGCTATTTTCTATTCAATCAATGCTTATATCAATAACTTTTAATATCATGATTTGGATTAAAAAAAAAAAAAAAACATGCATGCATTAAGAATACACTGAATAAGATGAAGCAAAATTTAGTTTTTAGTTTAAATACCTTTACAAACTCTAAATTTCACAATACCACAGTTAACTCATACAAGTAATACTATTTCTCGTTGATTAAAAATTGAGGGGATATTATTAATTTAACCATAATTTGGGGAGAAAAAAAAATGACTAACCTTTTACAACCTTAAACCAAGCAAAAATGTTGAATCAAAGAATTAGATATTCGATGCCTATTGCATTACGGAGACTAGTGGTGATAAAAAAAAAAAAAAATAATGTTATTTAAGGTTTAGGGGTGTCAATGAATCCTTTTTAGGGGTTAAAATGTTGCAAAAAGGGTTTTAAACGAATTTCAGTGTTTTGTGGAAGAAGATGATCTAGATCAAGTAGACTTGAATTTTGACTCTTCGAATATACCTTACTCAAAGTTCGATAATTAGAACATTAAGTGTAGTACTCATTCGAGTGTAATGAAATTACAAGTTTGAGTGTGCGTACAATACACAAATTGGGTTATTAGCCAGTTCGTGCATACATACACTCAAAAATCATATGAGTTAAAGGCACACTCGAATTAGATCTTAAACCAATCGCATCAACCACATTAAAAACAACAATTTCCCCACAAGGCATCATCTTTCTAACACAATTTAGAACAACAAAAACACTATCTAAACTTTGTAAACAACTATGCTTACAAAATATATAACGTCAACAAACTAAAACAATCCAATCAAAACGCCTTTTTCCCTCCCCTTTCTCCCAATCTTTCAATCGGTAATCCAAAATCCTTTCTAAAGCTTGAAATTTCTCTTTAATTTCTATTTGGTTTTGCAAATAACTCAAATGAGTATCAGTTAGATTTTCAAATTAAATTTAGAGAAAATAAGGGGTATTTTGGTCTTGTTAAAAGGTGTTGGTTATTTTCTTGGACCTCCATTTTTTGGTTAAATTAAATAATTTCCCAAAATTGAGCGTAACACTATAAGTTAATGGTCTGTACTTGGGTTGGGACAGTGAAAACATATTGGTAGATGTAGAATAAATGCCTCCTTATGGTGTAAGAAATATCAGCTTAAGGATTTACAAAGGCTTGGGATAAATATTCATTAAATAAAGGCTAAATTTATAATGGACTTGTAAATAGTTTTATCCATTATAGGTAGAGTTGATAAGATATAATTGGAGAGATAATACATTAATTTCAGATAGCTTGATATTCAACAAAGGTGGCTTAGTATTAAATCTGAAAGTCTAAATCATTGAAGCTTTGAATTAATTAAGTTCGTTGGCTCGTTCGGTCCCTGTCTTGACTTAAAAGCTCTTTAGTGATGTAGTTATCAAGTGCCGGAGGCATTCAGTGCTGGTTGATGAATTTGGATATTCCAGAGGTCATTACCAACTGTTCTTATTAATTACAACTTTTTATTCTTTGTAATTTTGGTCAATGTTTATACGGCAGTATACACTCTTTCCAAGTTTAGATGAGTTTATTAGTTTCCGGATCCTCTAATAAATTGAATTTTGTCTATTTCTTATATCTTTTAATTAATAGTAATTGATAACTACTTGTCATGCATGTGTTTTCTTGGGCTCAACACTCTTTTAATACTTATTAAGAGTTAACGACTTTTTCCCACCCCAATAGTAGATTAATGACGCTTTTTTTATCCAAAAATTTTTAAAATATAATTTTATTATCTAAATTTATATTTTAGTGGTAAACAAAAAGTAAACTCGATCCAGACTATTAGAGTTTTTGATGAGTGGAGGTCACTGAGTCTTTAACTGGTAAAAAATTAGATTTTAGTGATTAACATTAATCAAAATTTGACTTGGGAGGAGGGTGATTGTACAAACCCTAATCGCTCGATTGTCGGTGATTGACAAGGTCGACGACAATATAATTTAAGGGGTTTTGATTAGTGATGATCAAGGAAGAGAATGGTGGTGGTGCGGGATCACAACAATACTAGAATCGGAAACATAATATAAATTTGAGTAATAAAATGATATTTTAAAATTTTGAGATTGGGAAAGTGTCATTAAGCAATTATTTGATGGTAAAAAGTCGCTTACTGTACTTATTAATGGTTGATTAATTCTGAATGAGAAAATTCTAAAATTGTGGTTTCTTACGGTTAAACATGTAATCTTTTAGTACCGGTTCATTTATGCATTTAACTTTTTATTTTCAGTTTCTGCTGCTTTGTAATTTGCAAACCGTTTTGAAATGTTTGAAAGGGTAAACGAAATTTTTCCACCCAAGGTTTGCCTTGATAACACTTTCCTACTTAAAAAAGTTTCAAAATATCACTTTTCCACCAAAAGTTAATATTTCGTTACTACCCAAAGTCGATTCTGGTAGCGAAAATTCTCCATCACCACCATTTAAACCTCCGGTTTCCTCTCTACAAAACCCCTCTCATACCGATATCTGATTTCTTGTTAATTATCGGCCACCACAAAGCTAAAGTTTCATGTTCTTAGTTGATTTTCAGCTGATTCTAGTTACAAATATTCAATCGGTCACCATCATTCGATCCACCTGTCTCCACTTTACAAAATCCTTTTTAACCTAACTCTTGATAACTCGTCAAACGTCGACTGAAAAAGTGAAATATATTTTAGATATTAACATAATATAAACTTTGGGGGAAAAATGGTACTTGGAAAAAAGTCATTTACTCATTTTTTAAACCCAAAACATTATATACAAGCAATGGAGATTGGTTAAATTAATTGTTTTATAATAAGAAAAGACAAAAATTATTTTATCATTTTATTAATAGTAAGTATAATAAAATAAAATAAAACCAAATCCCATTTTTTTTTATCTCATCTTATTTCTTAAAGCTTCAATCCCAAATTTCTCTCTCAACTTTTATTTTAATCAACACTAAATCTGGTTTCGACTTTTTATTCTTTAAATTAAGATCCATTTTTACAATATATATTTTTGTGAAAAAAATGTATAAAATTGATTGTTTTTAATTAATAGTTTATTTAAAAAGATATTGTTTTCAGTTAATCATATCAAACTTTTTTTTTCATGTTTTTAAATCTTATTTTCAAATAAATATACTTATTGGTACAAAAATCTGCACCAACCAGAGAATTCCGATCGACCTTGATGGGATTAGAATAGATGTGTGTATGATTACGGGTAATCAACGATAGACAAATATTGAGTGCAATAAAATAAATGACAATGAGAATTTTTAAAGTGGTTCGGCGAGGTAAACTCTTGAGCCTACGTCCACTATTTTTTTTGTATTTGCTATGAGAGCTTACAATGAGAATTATGTGTGAAAGTTGTAACCCCTTTTTCATCAATTGAAGGGGTTTATATACAAGGTTTATACAAGGGAAAGAGCGAAAATAAAGGAATTACAATTGATCTGAACTGCAATTCCGATATTCTTGCGATTGGGCATTGTGATTGAGCAGAGATTGATGTTGATTTAGTCATTCCCGCAATACCTGGGAATTGACTGAATGATCATTCGGGTTCTTCGCGACTAGCTTATGCTGGGTTGAGTAATGTGTTGATGAGTTTATGCTGGGTCGAACACCCGGTGGAGTCGGACTGATCCTGGGTCGAGCTACATCCTCACGGTAGCCTGAGCTTGGTGGAAAAATCACACATAACATCAGCCCCCTAGTGTTCGATGCTCGTTTTGAGCTTCGAAGACTGTTGCTCAATTTGATGCCAAGCTTGGCATCACCAACAGATCTCCAGATGTAGGTTTGGTCAAGCTCTTAGGGTCGACCTCATGTCTGGTCAACGTGCTTCACACTTGTTTACTTCCCGTGATACCTGCCAAACTCAGAACTTGAAAAGTTAGGGCAAATACGTAATTTTCAAGCAGTCATGTTGCATTAAATGCGACAGCCTTTGTCAGTCATGTTTCATTGCGCGTGGGCAACTATAGTTGTCTACGTGCGAAATCAAGGCGACATGCAATGATGGTTGTCGGTGTAATAGTCTAACAATTCGTCGCCCTTCGCGGATGGATGATGCATGGCCGCGTCTAAGGGCCAAGATTGTTTGACGAATGAAGGGTCGAGATTCACTATATATCGACGGCTATGATTAAACCCCGCCTTTTCGTCTCCCATGCAAACCACTATAAAAGGTGGTGAAGTCGTCATAATGCTCATTTAATCCACGAAAGTTCTTTAACGTCTTTGTCCACTTTGTTGCTATTTCATCATCGTCACGGTGCTCTTTTCCGCGAGTTTCTACGCTTCTTTCATTCCGATAAGATTCTTTTCCCTTTCTTTACTCGTTTTTCCAGTTTTCGCATTAAAGGGTGGCTACTACCATGACCACATTGGATGTTTTAGGGCTTTAGTAAGGTTTTGAATATGTCTCCAACAGTCTTAGGTTTAAAGCGGTGACCACCGGAACTTGGGGTAGGTTGCGTGCATTCGTTGTGTGACGCGAACTATCTTGGGTGCCTGAACTGAAAGCAAGTGTTAAATGGTCGCCAAATTTTGCGAGCTCTGACACATGTTCGCTTTTATTTCAAGTACCCAGAAGCGAGCTATAACCATGTCTTCTTCCAACTGCTCCAAAGGTAGCAGACAAAAAGAGTGTCCTCGAGCCCCAGAAAAAAAGCCGATGAAGAAAACTCCCGAGCTGACTAGAAGCTCGAGGAAATTGAAGGCACCCGAGTAGCACAATAGCTTAGGTAAGAAGAAAGCAAACGAGCCTCTAAGGGGCTTGGGCAAAGAAAAGGTGGTCGAGCAGCAAGGTGGCTTGGGCAAAGAGGTCGTTGTTTAGGCTAGCGGCCTAAAGAAAACGACGGCCATAGACTTGGCCAAGAAGAAGTACGCTTCTGCGAGCGAGGCTGGCATTGTCGGGGGGAGTAAATCTGGCTT